GCAATGCCATATCCTCTTTGATACCTTCTATATTTTTGGTTTTCCTATTATGTAAAGCTATGGATTCCAAGACTTTTGATCGAACTTGTGTCTTGTTCACATCCGGCATAGCTATAATAATTTGCGGACAATTAATTTTGAATTGAAAAAATATTTTTTATAGTGTATATAACCTAAAGAATTGTTCACAACCTACACAACCTATTATAACATTAGATCATGTCAGCTATCACAACTAAAATCGTTGAAAAATATAAACTCGCTCCAGAGATGGATATATCTAAACTCGGCCAATATACCTCAGAATTTCTTGAAAACCTTACCGATGATAGAAAGCGGAATCAGGCACGCAGACATCTCCGGGATGGCTTTAAATTTAGCAATGAGCAGGTAAGTATATTGATAACTAATCAGAGAGGCGGGAAAACTAAAACTATAAATTTGGTTGAAGGTAATTCTAGAATAGCTGTAATCAAGCCCCCAAAAAGTTTGGAAGAAGAGATCGTCGGAGAGATAACTAAACAAATCTTACAGAATAGATATGGCTTTAGTGAAGATCAAGTGAATGCTTTATTCTCTACCCAGGAAAACGCGATTTTCTACAAACCCCAAAAAAGAATAGAGGAAGAAACTATCGGGGGTATGGCATATCGATTTTTACAGGATCAGCTTAGTGTTAGAGATGTACGAGCCGAAGCTTATGCCTTAGCACTATCAGCACTGGATGCCAATGCTGGTTCATCACGTCTTTCTCGTCTTCGTAGAGAATTAAGGAACCTTGGTGCATTACCTGGGATAATCGATGCTACAAAATTTCCCGATATTACAAAAGATGCAAACGAAATTCAAAGAGATCGACGAATAAAAGCTGAGATTGAATGTATCGATTATCCGGATGAATTTACATTAGAATCAGTCAAAGAGAGGTTAAATGCGTATGATATTAAAACTTCGCCCAATTATTTAGCCCTTGCTGATGTTACAATAATGCTTTGTTTGCGTCCTGCTGAAGCTACAACTTTACGTATCACAGATGAGGGAGTGACAGGATATGCAAAGAATAGAGGACAGCCAGATATACCTAGAAAATTTAGATCATTAGAAAAGAACCAAGAACGTGCTAAGGAACTACTCACTTGGTTACAGAATGCGATATCTTCTGGGAAAATGGGAAATCCTGGAAAGCCTGGAGTTAAATGGTTCAATAAATATTTAAAAACATACGGTCTTACTCCTCGACATTTACGTAAAATGGGGGCAGTTTACAGCGCTGTGGCACATAAAGCAGAGAATCCAGGACGTCTTATGACACTTGCTGGGGAATGTCTACGTCACTCGCCAGACAGCAATACTTCTCCAACACAGAATTACATTGTGATAAATTATCGAAAAAAAGGGCAATCCCCAGACCAAGCGAGACCATTTCAAATCTATGATACAGATTAATTACTAATTACGCTTCTTTGCTTTCACTACATTCACAGTAAAATCTTTATCATCATTAGATGATTCAGAGTCGGACCCAGATGAAGACGAGGGTGAGGACTCAGATGTGGTATCATTTAAAAATCTCTTTTTTCTTTTAGCCTTACATGATGTATGATTTCTTCGAGAAATATCCTGGTTTGTTATTGCATTTATAATATCTTGCTGAATTTCAGGTTTCACTATCTCCAGTAATTGGCGGAGAGGGATCCAGATTTTTTTACTTGATACTTTCTTAACAATACCAGATACTGCTTTTTCAAACCCCAATTTTTTCGTAATCTCATAAGTGATAATTGGACATTCTGCACCTGAATCAATTACACTCTGTTGCTTTAACATTGCTTCAAATTTTTTACAGATACTTTGCATTTTCTCAGGATTATTAGCTTCGGTCATTGTAATAGTTAAATTCTTTTATAAATACAAATTTAAAAATGTGCCTAAATTAATTATCCGAACATTAGTTATTTTTTCGATTAAAGATGTATAATATACAACTTGAGAATGGCGCAACTAAATATTTTTGATTTACCAAAATTACTAGAACAGATCTTATATTTTTTAGAAATCCATCGATCCCTCTATCCTATTTTATTCGTCAATCACCTTTGGTATCACTGTGGTGCTTCTATTCTGTGCGTCGTGTTGAGTTTTTCAACGAAGATTATCAGCAGAGTCGGCGTGCCTTAAATATGTCTCGGGTTCTTACTCAGCGATTGATAAACTTTAAAAAAATCATGTGTGGAAAGGTGAAGCCAGCCTATTGCACCAAGATGGTATATCTCAGATTGGAAGGTTTAAAAATCAAAGACGCATTGATTAGAGCAATTCTACATTCATGTCCAAATATACGTACTCTCATTCTTGACCGAAGTGATGGTTTCTCTAATATACCAATTATAGAAATTGCGAGATTTTCTCCGAAACTACAGCATCTGAGTCTTAATTTATGTATATGCCTTACTAATCGATATATCACTGAAAATTGCTCGCTCATGCCCAGAACTTAGACATATTGAGCTTGGTGATTGCTCGATTAGTAATAAAGCTGTCGAGGAAATAGCCCGTAACTGTAATAATTTGAAATATCTTAGTTTGGAGGGATGTAAAGGAATTGGTGATGAAGTGATGAAAAAACTTAATTCAAAAATTGAAATCAAACATCCAGATTATTCTGATGATGAATTCTCGGATACTGATCTACCTCCACTTATTCCAGATCCATTAAGTGTATCTCGAAGTGTTATCTTTACCGGTGGACCTAATAGAATGGTTTTAACCAATACATCAATTATAACAGATCTTATTTCTGCAATTATAGTATCATCAGAATTGACTGATTCAGAATGAATTAATTTATTAAATAGTCTTACTCAAACCATTAATCAATGATCATTAATTATATTTAATAGCGGAGAATGGGTAATTATTTCCGAGTTATTTTTTCGGTTATAATACTGTATATATCATTAAATATTATTTGACATGCTTTTCATAGAAACACTCGTGGAGGGAAAAATCCCAGTAAAAGCGTTAATAGATACTGTACGTCGTCAAAGTTTAATACCATTAGCAAGAGCTTGTTCGATAAGCTTAAATCAGGTCATGGGATACGCCCCACCTGTGATCCCGTTAAAAAACTCTATGAAGATGCGATAGGTGAAATAAATTGCTTAGATTTACAATTTCGCCATAAAGGAAAATGGCAAAGTTTGGATGGTACTGATGCAATAGACTTCGAAATTCGCAAGAATCCAACATTCGATCTGGTATTGGGTCAAGGGTGGTTGTGGGTACATGAAGTAAAGATGAGCTTTAAATTTTCCCATAGAGAAAATTTTGACCCTCTTGCTAAAATTGAGATAAATGGTATGAGCACTCCATTAATTAATAAAGATAGCAGACCCACAGGCGACTCTTCGAATCATAAAGTCAGTTTCACTAGAAATAACTTATCTAAATCAACAGAAGCTAAACCTGGTCTAGCTCAAGAGGAGGTTATGGATATAATTAACAAAATTCTCTCAAATATCGAAGATAGACTCGAAGAGTCATTGATTTGCAATAATAAGCAACGAATATTTCACAACATACCTCCTGTACCTCCATCATCCAGAAAATTAAATGATGATGTTTCCAAAAATAGTGGAGCTAGCAAGATTAAGAAATATCCTAAAGTAGATTTAGATGATGGATGTGGAAAGCTTTCAATCAAAACGCACCTCAATAATATTTGGAAGTCGGTTCATTCTATAGAAAATAATATAGAATATGGAATTTTTGAAAAGCTTCGTATTATTGAGTATGAGTTAAGTTGTATAAATAAAGCAAAGCTACCATGGATAAAATCTGAGACAGAGACTAATTCATTCAGAATCCAACAAGTTCAGACTGGTATAATCTGATCACGTAATTCATAAGACATTTTTCTTTTCTATAATATGTAATAAAAATCCATTTAATTTGTCTTAATACTAAATTTGGATCGAGAAAATTAGTAAGTATATGTTGAGATGGGACGTAATAATCAGCGTAAAACAATAAGCCTCAATAAAACGATGTCATGTAAATCCGCACATATAGCGGGAACTCTTTATTTTTTTAAAAAATGCCAACCGGCAGTTACATTATATGAATATGAGTAGAGATTCTATGTTCTCCATACTCATTGCTAGAAGCAACTACACAGTAGCTATTTATCTAATAATTTTAATAAATCTACCGGCGAATTGGGATTAGACACTGTTCTCACGATTTCGGTACGAGATGCTCGTGCATCACCTTGTCTTACTTCCGCCTTGCCTGTTTTTAGTAGAGTAAACGCAAAGGTCTTAATCTCGACAAATATTACTCCAACCGAAGGCCTTGAACACATTAAGCAAATGTAATTATACTGTATAAATTTACTCACGAGTTTGAATAGTTTCCACAGTTCCTGATTTAGATGAGTTTGGGTTGGTAGGATGATTGATCTTAACAACATTTCTTTCACTAGTCACGGAAATACTACTTTCGTTGGTTCTGGAAATATTACTTTCGTTGGTTTTAGGGCTCATTTTCACAATTCTAAATACAAAAATAACGGTAAGTATAATTAATATGTTTTATAATCCTAATTAATAGCGATACATTGGATAATGGTACATTACTTCGAATTAGTGGTATAAAACGTTATTGGAACCCATCTTACAAGAGAAAAAAAACGAAGCCTTTTATAACATCCAGAACCGTTAAATCTATTCCAAAACCAAATATATTTTTGCCATTATTTTTGGTGAAGCGTGCCCCTTAATTTCGGCGATCTCACTGGTGGAATAATGATCACGATGATCTGGGAAAATACCAAGTCCTATAACATGCGAACTTTGATAAAACTACTAATGAGAATTGATAAGCCCATTCCTCTTATGGCCCTTTTAAACTCATTTCGTATTTTTTCTTATCAGGAAATAGATGGTAAGAAATAACAACGGATAAAAATAAGCGACGAAAATCATATCACGTGTGGACTAAATCCGCAAATCAGGGATCATCGTAGAAGTTCGTGAAACATACGTAAATCTTTTTTTTTTTTTCACTATACGTATTTAGCTAGAAAATATTTCTTTGTTAAAACATGCTTCACGATAAGAATAAGCATAGACGAGACTCGAAAAGATAGTAAGGAAGTTCAACCTGACAATCTCCATTAGTGCGTATGTTGAAAGACTTATGTTGTAGGAAGTTGAAATCTCCGCAATCTCCGAGATCGTCAATGTGCCTGCCATTTATATAAGTTGCGTAATCTATTTACATAAAAAGCCACTGATCTACTTAGGAAAATTTTTTTATTCCTTGCATTATCTCACTTCAGCCGGAGGTCATGAACGCATCGCATAAACCAGAAATTTTTTACGCCGTCCACTAATATAAACAATGTCTTCACCCTCACCTTCATCGCCGGTTTCTACATCCTCTACATTAACGGAAGAAAGGACAACTCGCACGATGGCAGACGTGGTAAAAGATCTGGGCACTGAAGAACTTATCGATTATTTACAAAGGCGGGATCTAAAATTGGATAATGATGATTTCAAAATCTTGTGCAATGAAAAAATATCTGGTCGTGACTTTCTCAAGACCATCAAAGCAGAATTTCGTAGCTATGGCTTGAAAGGAGGTCCGGCGACTAGGCTTGTGGATTTCATTGAAGAGATATCAGAACAAAAATTAAGAGGTTTTTCGACATATAAAACCTTGGAAGAATTGAAGGATGTACTCCGTAAATACAAAGTTAATGGGGAGGATATTACAAGTATAAAACAATTCAATCCAGGTATGTAATACTTAATTCATTTTTTCTTGACAAAAAAGTGATCGAACATATGTTATACGCTAATTTATTTTTTCTCATTGTATAGTATTCGAAAAAAATCGATGATAATGATGAAGCACTCAATCATTGCATGGACGATATAATTCTGAAATTATCGAATATTGAAACGATGACCGACGCCAACGAAGCAACACGCTGTGAATTTATTTCCTCTATCCTACATGCATCCCTATCAATCGTCCGAAGACATACTAAGGTAGAAAAACTTTACATATCTTTACAAAAAGATGTCTCGGGTGAAGAAGCATCAGGTCGGGTAGATTATGCAATCAAGGGAAAAGAAGATCTTATGTGTATCGCAGAGGGTAAACCCCGTAACGTTAAAATTGGTTATTTGCAGAATATCAAACAACTAGAAAGTGCATATCACACAAATAAAAATAAGAGATAACGAACCGCAGAACAAGCTTTTAATAATGATGAATATGACTATCTTTATGGGATCGTTTCTACAGGTATTCTATTTTGATCCGCATATTATATTTAACAATGGACAAAAAGTTTATACCTCAAATTCACAACTATAAATTTTACCTTTCCGTTTCTAGCCATGGACTTTATTGTACCAGCGAGGATGAATATCAAATAAACCTCTCAAAAACCGCGATCAAAGAAAATATCGATATTCTTCGAAACAGTGTACAACGAATAATTGGAATCATTGTGGGGTTGTTAAAAGACAGGATAACAGCGAGTAACGAACCCGGGAGTAAAAGGCGTCGTGTACAAGAAAAGATAAAACAGTATAGATAGATTCTTATTCCGTATTTTTATTATTACATCATGTAATGGGCATCTATATGCCTCATATATTTATTTGCATGTATTTATTCCGATATATTATACAGATAAATATATAAAAATGCTCAAAGGATTGTGATATCAATGCTATGGTATCACGTTGAAGTTCTGATTTTTTGGCGACGGGCCGTCGCTGAAATTTTGGTCGGATTCAAACTTTCTTAAGTTACGGATCCAAGGCTGCGAGAAAAAGGGATGGACGCTCTCCTATAAAAATTCATAACGTATTATCTAAAGAATTTGGTTTTGTTTGCTGGATCTGTTAGGTGCAATTGAAGGAAAAATAAAAATAATTTCAATAAAAATAGAAATAATAATAATATCATACCCTGATTAATTGTAGAGCCATAGAATAATGCAGATTTTATCCGGCTGTCTTAGTATCTACATTCACTCATATCAGGCTTGAATAAAGTATATGCATTTTGCTGTTTGCATGTGATAAAGAGTAGAAAAATAAAGTATTTTTCCTTGTTGGTCTTTTAATCAATTGTATATAAAAAATGATATTATCTTTAATAAAATAAATCCAAAAGCGATGATGATAGCTTGATATGATAAAAAAGACCCAGCGGTAAGTGATCGAGCACACGATACACACTCTTGACAACCAACCATGAACCACAACTCTCGAAAGAGCTTATGGGATAACCGAAGTTCTTCAGAATGATCGGTTAGTGCATCGTCTTCCATTACGCAAGTCACGACAGGTGCCCCGTAGGAATAACCGAAGTTTTTGACCAACCCTGCCTGTGGCCTAACATATGGGGTCAAGTAATCCCTTTGCTGGAATAACAAATCAAGTATTAGTACAAGAAAAGTAGTATAATTATTGCTATGCTTTAAGATACCTACAAGAAATCAAAAGGAAACTTGCAGTTCGTGCATGCGCTCACAGTATAACTCTTGACAACTAAGTGTGAGCCACAACTCGAAGAAGCTTATGGGATAACCGAAGTTCCTCGGAACACTCAGTAGTTATACTGTCTTCCGTGAGAGAATCTGGTTACAAAAGTACCTTCTGAAGAAGAATAACCGAAGTTTTTGCACGTCTATGCCAGACCACATCTCACAGGACGCGTTCTAATAAAGGAAAAAAATATAATTAGCATGGTCAACTAAAGTGGTAAAAGTAGTGTTAAATTTTTATTGGTAGGATCCCTCAATTTATATACACGTAAAAACGCGACTCAATTATCTCCAAAATGTCTGCGATTTCACAATACGTCAATTTTTTTATTAACGATGAAAAACCTACACCAATCGCATTTATAAAAAAGTTCGACTTCTCTTCAAAGAAGGAAGGACTCTCAAGCTGGTATTCGACTCTCAGCAAGACCCTCGAAATTAACAAAATGATCCCAAACTTATTGAAATCAGGCAAAATTACGAAAAAGGTTATTACAAGCAAAGCATCAATGATTACTTTCGACAATCAGAACGTGCTCGTACTCTTGAGGAAGAAAAGGTTTGTTAGACTTGTTTGCTTATCGTAGCTGATTTATTAAGTTTATTAAGTTTATTAAATCCAAGCCATTCTTCCAGACCTCTATTGATAAGACCTTAACAAATAAAACTGGCAATGCGATTCGAAAACGTATACATGATCTCCTTCCGGAAGAAACTGGTGATCAAAAATTCTCGAAGAAACCTTGTCTAAGGGAGTCGAATCAGAAGATAAATCGAGGAAATAATGATTTTTGCTTGGCTTCATCCGATCCTGATTCGGAATATTTCAACGCTCAGGAGTTATTAAATAAAAAAGGTATTGATTTATCAAATGTAGGCAAAGCCAGCCCATTATGTACTAACCATAATTTGTTTAGAACGACACAAATTGTGTTATTCGTGGGAGAGCGTCGTTAATCAGATTGATTTTAGGGCTGTCTCTAAAGACGATGTAAATATATACCAATATGTTCATTACATTCCATTTGCTAGAAATAAGCATGCGCGAATATTACTTTTCAGTGGGTCTATGAGAGTTATAATCTCTCTTCAGAATTCCGAAATTTTCAGAAGTCGACAATTGAACAAGTCAAAAAAAAAATCCAATCTTATGCTATAAAAAAGATATCCAAAAAAATTCTGTAAGTATTTTTGCAAACCGAATCAGGATTTTTTCATGATTATGTTTAATATTATTCATTATTCTTACGTTAAAATAGATCTCTTTCAAACATAATGCTCATCGAAAATATAAGGCCATCATTTCTTAATTTCTCACAAACTATTTGGGATCAAATCTGTCGAAGGAAATTACCTCCAAGTTTACCATCAGTAGCAAATAATTTAGCTCTTGAATATTCTTCTGTGAGTTTACTTTCCCCACTCTCGGACTTGGAGTTAAAGTTATGGTATTAAACATTTTTCACTTTTAACTCTAGATGATAAATTCTTTTACACCATTAAATGATATTCAAGATGCATGGTGTAATAACTTTTCCAAGATTACGGGATTAACGGATCGAGATAAAGACAAATTTTGTCAAACTCAAATTATTTTTCGAAATTTGTAAGTATACCTATTGTAAATCATAATTAATGTAACACTTAATGAAATAACAACTTCCTTTTATAGCTTATTTCTAAGTTCAAAGGATGTGAATACCAACAACGAGGACACCTTTGTACATGAAACTTTGCATGACCTACTTAAAGAGATTTTCCGTGATTCAACTTTCGAGTTAATTTGGTAAGAATTTGTATTTGTGATTTTGCCGATCTAAAATCTTATAATTAATGCATAAGTTAAAAAAGGGCGAACAGCGAAAGTCTTGTTTCCAAAAATCGACGCTCCAACAGTTCGGACAAGGAAAATTATAGAGGTGAAAAGCCTGACTTTAAAGTTATAACCAGTACAAAAGAAGAAATTCTTTTTGGCGAGGTTAAGACAAAAGATTCACGTTCTTTATTGATTAATAAAGATCTCGTAAAATTATCCAATTTCCAATCGGGTGCCTTAGACGAGTTAATTAAAAAATATGGTAACAAGATTGGTTTAGCTTCATTTGGTATATGGGTCAGTGGTAAGTTGTTAAATTTGATAATGCATATACTAATATATGATGGCATTTGTTAATACGTACTTGATTAAATTTATAGGTCCACGTATTCGGATCTACGAAATGGATCTAAACTACGATGGCATGTATAGAATGTTTTTGATGGCGAATGTTGTGACCCCAATGGAAAGGGCACAATTTTTAAGTCTGATACCAGTATTAGAAGCATTGTATTATATTAAAGTAAGCGATGGGTGGTTATTAGTTTTAGCGCAAAATTGTCATCAAACCATTTAACATTTTATGATTTTTTGAAGGATCGTATTTCTGAAGTATTAGAGGTAATCGTTTCCGACACTCCAGCTAGTTCACCACGTTCTACTTACGTCAGAATGCCCACCCCTCCACCAAAATTAGTAAAGATTGCTATCATCGGTCTGCCGTCAAATTAACTTTCATCAAATTTATCTCACCTAAAATCCTATTTACACATGGTGCTAAGAAAGTTAAATGTAGATGATTTATCAATATGTATATCGAGTTTTGCCTGAAATGGAATTGAGTGTATAATAAAGCATGTTTCAAAATTTGATGGGATCAAAACTGTTTAAATGATCTGATTCGAGGCAATGATTGATATGCAAAATTCTCACGTCACAATAAAATCGATGTCAATATTTTTATTCGTAATTTGAATTTTTTGACGACGGCCCGTCGCTGAAATTTTCATTGTTTTGGTTATACATTTTAAATAAATAATAGAATATACACAATCTATTACTAAAACATGCAATCAGAGGTTGATTCATTAAAACAACGAATTTCTGAGCTTGAAGCCGAAAAGGCTGAGCTCGAAGCCAAGAATGCCGAGCTTTTAAAACAGGTTACGGAAGAGAGCACCAAACGCGAAGCTGAGAATTTTGAGCTCAAAGCCAGGATCGCCAAATTGGAACAGACCGCAGAGGAAAATACTGAGCTTAAAAATAGAATCACGAAATTGGAACAGAAACAGACGCAAGCTATTACTAATAAACAGGAGCCATCTTCTACAAAAGATATTTCACCGCCTGTCGAGAGCCATTTTGATGAGGAGAAAGGTATTATTACTCTTAATCCCTTGCCTGAAATAGAACATAGCTCAACCCAATCTGAATCTTCAACGGAGCCTGAAAAATCTACAACCTCTTTACCACAAGATATTATCGATGACGATTCAGCTGAGATCCTAGATTTTGTAGAAACGATACATAAGGAAAGGATTAGTATTGAGATAAGAGAGAGGAACCGGGAAAAAAAAACTTCAAGAATCACATAATAACTTAACTCCACCAATACATTCCGAAACATCAACTATGTTGACACCTGAGTCTCTGGACTCGAAAACTGTGAAAAAGCTTTGGGATCAAAATAAAGGCCTGAACAAAACATCCCAATCGCACAAGAAAAAGGGAACAGAGAATATCGCTCAGGTGATAGCTGATGGTATTCAGGACAATAGTCTTCCAGATTCAAATCATGTGACTGAAATTTCAGCGACGGGCCGTCGTCAAAATTCTTCTACAATCTCATTATTCGACTTGGCACAATTATTTGATAAAGCAACAAATGCTGAATATTATGCTACAAAAGCTAACCAGGAAGAAACCTTATGCTGGATTAACTATGGAAAAGAATTCGTAATTCAATATAATGATCTTATAAAAAACAGTAATGGCAAAATTGGCGAGAAAAAGGCAAAAGGTATAATTTATGATAAAATATCAGAGCACCTTGCTATCATCCGTGAAAAATGATCCAAGGAAATGGGATTACAGCTCCCAGAAATCTCGCGTAAAACTTTATGTAGAAAAACCCAAAGGGCTATAAAGACTTATAAATTATTCGAAAAAATAGACATTGATAAAATTAAGTATCTTAAAGCATACAGTGCAAATTCTATTTCAGAATTGACAAACGATCAAATCCAAAAGATTATCGATAATATTTCTGATTATAATGAGTCTAATATGCCTCAAGGAGGCGCCCCTAAAGGGCCAGAAAATCACATGAGTGAGTGGAATTTCGACGACGGCCCGTCGCCAAAATCATGTAACCGAAATTTTGCCTGAGGTAAGTACACCCGCCAAACCTCAAACTCTTCTGTGAGAACTAAGATCTTACTAGAAGTCAAGACGAGTGAAGAAAGTATATCATCTACACCTCAACTCAAGAAGACTTTAACTGAAAAGCAAAATAATCCAACTCATGACCATGCATACTTTCGTAATAAGACGTTGTTGCGATATTCTGATCTATATAAAACATTTATTACTGAAAAATTTGATTACTATGATATTATTGAGGGATCGTTATGCCCAGTATGTAAATTAAATCATGAAGATGGGAAAAGTGTAAAGGTAGATATGAAGCTGGAACCTATTTTATTATATGTGGAAAGCATGAAATCGAGATAACAGCATAAATCGTAAAGTCTCCGGTTCCAAATGATCGTAAATTAATTAACTATATTCATTTTTTTTAATTGCGTCTACGACCAAAGAATAAGTCACAACTCATACTTAATTTGAATTTGCGATTGTATAAAACAATAATATGGATAAAACCTATTTCGGAGAAATGACACTTCATGCCTTGACCCCCGAATATTTGCTAAATTGGTTGATTCACCGAGTCATTTGACAGACAAAATTCGTTTGAGCTTATATAGAGCGTATACGGAAGAGATCCCCGGATAAAGTCTGAAACCTCTGAATCCTCACAAATCGAAAAGACTGATAATTACCTTTCACAGGATTGTGTTATCAAAATTTCTAAATTTCCGGAAGAAAAAAGTATAATCCTTGATGCGGTACATAAACGCTTCCCTTTATTGTCTTACACTAATTCGAATGCATGGCATCGGGATGTTTTTAAATACACCGATTCAGAAGCGGACGTCTATCAGTATAAAGATATCAATTACATGAGAAATGGTTCAAAAATTATGAAATATAGCTGGTGTTCGGTAGCATATCAAGGTAAAATTATTGCAAATACATAATATAAAATTATGCTTTGCATATAAAAATTGGTAGTATCCCAAAGTATTTTTAACATGAAGTGAAAGTATTAACTATGCAAGAAAGATTTCTAGGATCACAAAACATAGTATACTGATGGTAGTCACCTAAAGTAAAATTATAAAAGTCAGTAGGACACCAAAGTAAAATTATGCTTTAGTGGGTTACCAAACGGGGATAACATTTTATAAAAATCGGTAGTATTCGAAAGTATCAACTATACAAGAAAGATTTCCAGGATCACAAAACATAGTATACTGATGGTAGTCACCCAAAGTAAAATTATTACAGAAAGATATATATTATAAAAATTATGATTTGGGTGACTACCAAGTGGAATAATATTCAGCACACAGTGCCTTATCCTGGATCGGTAGCATGTCAAGGTAAAATTATTACAGATATATATAATATAAAATTACGCTTTGGATGTCTACCAAATAACTGCTAACAATTCGGCATTACGTGCCTCATCATCGGGCAATATTCGAATGAATTATATAAAGTTAACAACTGTTAACAATTCGGCACTATGTGCCTCATCCTCAATTGATATTCGAGTGTATCATGTAAAGATCACGAATACTATTTCGGCACTAGGTACCTCAAACCTGTCCCTCATAGAGGAATTAACCAGAAAGCTAAGGTACTATGTGCCAGGTTCAGGCATAGCCCTCACAACAGGCCCACAAATGATGACATAATCACAATTGAGTTGTCAAACTCGCGATAACATGACCTGATAACATATATATAGCGTGACTGGATATAGGATTTAAGCAATTAATTTTTCTGTTAAATATTCTATGCTATATATAAAATGACAAAAAACAAGATCGCAAGAGTAAGCTAACTCAAACTATTGATAAAATTATAATGCAAATGATTGAGGAAGTGGAATGCAACATTAAGCCAGATCAAGCTATCAATAAACTCTTAATACAGGAGATAGGAAAGGGTTTCAAAACTTATGTAGAAAAGCTAGAGCAAGATTACGATTCCGAGTCTGATTCTGAACTCGAAAATGAAAATCTAGATTTTATATCTATTTGCAAACCAACAGTTAAAAATTCTGTTAATACTAATAATGTATAAATCGCAAGATACTGTATACTTTTGTCCATATGGTCCAATGACGGAAATCGGCCATATCACATGCAGGGTGACGTCAGATTCGCATTCATATCGGTCACCTTGGTGTGTGTCATAAAAAGTAAAATACAAGTCACTCGAGCGTAGCCTAAAAAGTAAAATGCACGTCACACTGATGCATGCCTCAGCGGATCTCAAGTGACGATACAAAGGCAACCTATATAGCACCTGATGCGTAGACTATAATAGTCTCAAGTATGACTTGGGTTTCCCATCACTCGAATGACTTGAGTTATGCAATCGACCCATCACTCGAATGACTTGAGTTATGTGATCGACCCATCACTCGAATGACTTGAGTTATATATATACATGTCATACATAACCTAGACTAAGTGGAAATAACATAATTATGTTATTTTCACTAGAGTAGGTAAAATTATTCAGAAAAATTAAGAAAAATCTGTTATACATTAAAAAAAAAGTTGTTTCTATTTGTAATAATGATGTCAGTTTTCTAGACTGGCATGCTGTTGTTGGGTCACACTTCTTTCTAGACTTTGAAATCTTTATAAGAAAGAGAAAGAGTGTATTTTTTTGTTTAATTTATTTTTTCTAGAAAAGTTTTCTTACTATTAACTTTATAGATAGAAGGTTTTTAAAGAGAAAAAGTAAGCAAGAAGGGTAAAATGTGACTATTATTAAATGAAACAGATGTTTTTAAAGAAAGTTTTAAAGTTTTGAAGAAACTCTTCTTTGAAAGTAGTGGTTAGGAATCTATAGAAAAGAAATTTTGAATTATTAAAGACTTTTTGTATCTATAATGAGTTTATTAAATATAATATAATGTTTAATTAAAATATTTTTCATTCTATTCTGATAAATATATACTTTTGTCTTCTTAAGATTAATATATTACTATCTAGTTTGATTACAAATATTATAAAAAAATATAAAATATACTATGTATTATATATTATATTATAAATTATATAATTTATAATTTATAAATATAACTTTAATTCAAAAAAATTTATATAAGTTTATCAATTTTATTATTTTATAATTTTATATCACTAAATTTTTGTTAAATGGTTATAGAATTTTTTAATAAATTATTAATAAATAATTAATATATTTTATTCTTTACTAAAAATTTTAAATACTTTAATATATTATTATTTATTTATTTTAATTAAAAAAAGTGTATTAGTTAAAAAATTAATTTTTTAAAAATTATATTATTTGTTTTTAAAAATAAAATAATATACAGTACTTGCAGATTTAAATTATTTTAATTAAAATTATTAAGCCAAACTATCATATACTTTATCTTAATATTATTTTAATTAAAATTATTAAGCCAAACTATCATATACCTTATCTTAATATTATTTAAATCCATTTCTTATAATCAAATAAAAAAATTATTGAAAAGTTTATAATTATTTATATCAAATTTATTTCCTATTGTAATGATTTGATGATTAATTAATTGATTTTTATTATATTTAATTGGTTTTTGAATATTTTTTTCAATTGAATCAATCAAGTAATTGATTAAAATCTTATATTTATTTTTTTGAATACTTTTTGATATTATTTCATATAAGAAAGAGAAGGCTCAAAAATAATTTATTTTATTTTTTGAAAAATTTTAGATGCTTTAATTTTTATAATTATTTATATTATGTTTTGTTTACGTATTCTATTATAATATTTTTTTTGTAGCATAATTGATAATAACAATAATTTTTAAAGATATTTTTCAAGTTGTTCTAATAAAAGCATTGGACTTTATTAATTAAAAAGTCATAAAACTTTTTATGAATATTTTTTTATACAATCAAAAGATTAGCAGAAAGAGTAAATTTTTATATTTTGTAACAATCTTCTTCTTAAATATAGTATATTTTATTATAACAATTATTAAAAAAAATAAAAATGAACAAAAATGAATAAAACAGCAATAATTAAGTTTGAAAGTTATCTTATACTATATATCATTTACAGTATCAAACAAGTAAAGTTTATTTATGAGATTTATATAAATTGATGTTAATAAAAGTTCCGATTATTCAATATGAAGTTTTTTTCTTTTGTTCAATAAAAAATAACAATTTATATTTAGAAAGATATGTTTATTTGACAAGTTAATATCTGCAGATTACTTGGTCTATCGTTACTCGACTATCCACATAACCGTTCGAGGAAGAGAAAAGACCAAACCTTTTTGCACGTGATTAATGTGATCTAAACAAAATTTACAGGTTCTATGATGTTAAACATTATTGGAAATGTCATGATAATGGTAATCTAGTTGCTAATTACAAGTCATATGCTAAAACATGTCCAGTAAGATGGTGATGAAAACGTTTTAATTGTAAATAATTCATGATTATCTTCATCGCAAATGGGAAGATTTCTTGATTCCAAAAATCATATCGAGGTAGCTTTCTGGTACGCTCATGGCAACCCGTCTGCAAAACCGAAGTCCTTCGTCGAAAGATCTGAATATTGTCATGAGTATGGCAACCAAACTTGCACAAACGACAACTGCCAGGAACGCCATGTCTCCTATCAGCACCAGTAATGGTATAAGTGCCGATCCCACCACAACGGTAGCAAAGGAGGTTAAACTGTATTGTATATTCCGACCGCTATTTTCTTTCCATAGTGCGTATTCAAATTTACATACTATCGGGAGAAATAGCACAAAAAATGTGGCTAACGTGGCAGGTATGGTGCAAGCCAGGTAGATGGGTAGGATCGCTACTGACAGGATGATCCTCCAGCCGTTGAAATCGAACGAAGGCCCTTGGTATTTTGATAAACGATGAACTTCTCGAGGGATGACGGCACTGCAGTGTTCTTCGATCAGAGAGGAGAAATTTAAAGCCGATTTTATAGGTTGACTGACTGATGACTCTCCTAGCGTGGTCCATGTGTCCTCCTTGCGAGTGTGATAAGCGTAATAAGACATTGCAACGACAAAGGAAATTCTGAAGTATCGTTCACCTTGTCTGTTAAAATGTACTTTTATTGGATAAATTAATGTGATCAAGATTGTATAACAAAGCGAGGCTAGAATTCCAACAAGGAAGTAAAGTAATATTAGGAGCGGGGAAATCACGAAAAGTAAGAATTTGCAATTTGGTCCAAGGTATTTGTTTAAGAGAACTAAATAGTAAAGATAAGAAATGTTGTCAGATAGGTGTGAAATCAGAACGTGAGTACTGGTCAGTGCACACAAGAGGAAAATGGGAAGAAAGATGATTACAAAATCAATAAGAATCAATATTGTGCTGAGGGAGAAGCGTCGAATGCTTTGGTTTTTAATCATTTTACGCGAATGATGGTATGACACTCTCATATTAGCGTCCGACATTTCTTTTATTAATGGGGTACGTACCACGCCATTTAATGCATCACATGGCCCAATTACTCCCGACTTGCAAGTGAATCGAAATAACCGGGAACCAATTGCGTACTATTATAGACAATTTATTAAATTTCCTTCTTTGGGATAAACATGGAGCAAAAGGTAACGGTGGTACGTAATGATGCTCAATGCTGGTCTCGTTGAGAACATACATACAAAAAATTATTATTTCGTATTACAGATAAGCATAAATTTGATCGCGATTTTCCTGAATACCTTAAATTTAATGGCAACGAACGTATTCATGATAATCGCATGTGTATACTTGATTTGATTAAACATGATTAGAAGGCTTTGATTAGATTTGATTGAGATCTTTTTCTATAAGGTTACCGAATGCACATTATAAAGATCCCCTGCGTGACATGAAGTTCGAGCACTTTGCCCTGATGGGTCACACAATATATTAAATTTAGAACAAACTTGGGACACAAAGAGAATTACTTAATATAGGTCGATCAACGAAGGCTTCGTAGTTTTGTTATTATTGAGCCATACGTATTACATTATTTCTATGCGGAACGAATGTTTAGACGAAATTTCCTAAATCCTTTTAGTTTATGTCCAGTATCAATGCGTAACTTGTCGGAAATAATGACGTTGTCCGAACTTAAAGGTCACGAGTGTCATAAACATTTATTTACACGGGCATTACCGATGCGATGAAAAAATTCACGATAGTATTGTGACGTTTAATCGAGTAGAGAAAGCGTCCGGAAGTGATGTGCGAAAACTTGATCATATTTTGACATTTAACGTGTTGTTATATTCAGTATTCACGTCACATACACAAATATTCCACTTTTATGATCTTTTTAAAGATTGGCGTAAATCAGTGTCAACATTACGTGACACCCTTAGAATCGGATTGCACAAATTAGGTTTATAAAATCCAGTAAATTACCACGTGCTACTTGTATTACCGAGTAATGATGAGTCATCCCGCGATTTCGTGCTTTCGAGTTTTCAATGATACTACATGGTCCTTTTTCGAGTACGATGAGAGAAATTTTTTTTTTTTTTGAAAATGCATATTCACTCGGTGAATACAAATAGAATTATTATATTCATTAATTTACTTTTTTTTTTTTTGTTATTGATGCTAAATGTTATAGATACTTGATCCTCCTTTCTTGCAGCATCCATCTACTTTCAGCTCATTTCAAAAATTCAAATCTTACTCTCCCTGCTGCTGCCAGGGATAACAATAGCTTTACCATAAGTTTCTCTCCTATAAATAGCATTCATTCCGTCCTTTACACTATCCAATCCATGATAAATTTTTTCATACACCACGGATTTTACTTTCTTTTCTGCAATTAACTTAAATATTTCACGCCATACATCCGGAATCCGTTCGGGTTCATTCCTTTTGTAGGATCCCCAATAAAATCCTAAAATTGAAATGTTCTTCACTAAGATCAAGTTGGCTGGAATTTTTTCAATTTCTCCGCCTGCAAAACCGATCACAACCAGACGGCCATCCCAAGCTTCGTTGTTATTTGATGATCAACCAAGAGGACAAGAGATTAATAATATTTATTATTAACATGTGCAAAGAAAGGAAATCTCACCTAGGCATCTAATAGATGACCTAATTAATCCAACGGGATCGTAAACAACCTCTACGCCATGTCCACCAGTGATTTTCAGTACCTGTTTGTGCCAATCTTTTTCGTTATAGTTAATACCATAATCTGCTCCAAATCTTTTAGCAATGACCAATTTTTCTTCCGATCCGCAGGTGGCAATCACTTTTGCTCCCAGAGCCTGCATATTTTCAAGGGAATGTGTTATGTGTTGACCTCGTGATTGGATAATTGAATATGTTTCGTTACCTTGGCAAACTGAACAGCGGCAATGCCCACACCACCTGCTGCCGCATGAACAAGACACCACTCGCCTGAATTTAAAAAAAGTGATCACGATCATATACATATCCCAACGACGTTAACACCCCCCCATCCATATCCACTATACCTTCTCTTAATTTTGCTCGAAATGCCAGTGCGGCATAACTGGTAGGGTAAGTGACGTACAATCCTGCTGCTTCTTCATAATTCATACCACTGGGTATTAAATGCGAACTATCCACATCTACTGTCGCACGTTCGGCGAAACATCCGTTTCCAACACCGAATATACGGTCACCCACTTTATATTTCTTCACGGTCGGATGAATGGCGATTACTATGCCTGCGAACTAATTGTCATATAAATATCGGTTACAAAATTCAAAAGAATCTCCACCCAGTCGTACTACCTCAACACCAGGTATGAAAGGAAGTGGTGGCTTTTCTTGATATTTTCCCTGCACCTATATATCGGCACACCCCAAATTCAATAAAGCCTTCATTAAAAGCATATCTTGATTTTAAAAGGCAAACCTGTAAAATGTCAAAAAAGTTAAGGGCCGTGGCTTTAACTTCCACCAAGACTTGATTCTCTTCCAATTTAGGCTCGGGCGCATTTTTATCGACCCTTAGTTCATCAATTCGTTCAACCCAATTGTTCACCACGACGGCTTTCATTCTACCAATGAATTGATCTTTCTGATGATTCTGATGAGTTTTTAAATATGCCAGTGGGATCTACGCACGTGCAGAGGGTCGCACAAAATTGTTCACTACGAATTTCCCAAACAGGTTATTTATCAACTTTTTATATATTATATTCAATAAATAGTTCAATATCACCAAAAATTTATTTATTTATTTACAGAATATATAGTTACTTCCAAAAGTTTGAGCCCACTTATTATAAATTTATTTTTAAATTCTTAATTAGACAATCAAAATTTATATATTATATCTTATATCTTATAATAAAACTTTAAAACTTTTTCAAAAACATATATTTCATTTAACAATAGTCATACTTTATCCTTTCTATTTACTTTCTTCTTCAAAAACTTTCTACTTAAGAAATTAATAGTAAGAAAGCTTTCCTAAAAAAAGAAACCAGATAAAAAAGTATTTTTTCTCTTTTTCCTATAAAGATTTCAAAGTCTAAAAAGAAATATAAACCAATAATTTCATGTTAACCTGAAAATTCAACATCAATATTATAGGTAAAAATAATTTTTTTTTCAATATGTAACAATTTTTCTTAATATTTTGAGGAATTTTGCCTATCACAGCTTAATCTTGAATTTTTTGTTATATTAGATTATAGATGGATTGATTGATTAAAGATTGGAATTGATTGTTTTATGATTAATAGAAATATAAACAAGAATATATTTGATATGAAACATAAATATATTTTTTAAGATCCATAAAAACCTTAGATTCATTATAAGTTATTAACTAGTTAAAAGAGTAGATAAACATTATAAATATTATGGTCTCCTCTTTCTTATTATCTTCTAAAGTGTCTTGACTATAAAATAAGTATTTCTCTAGAGACAAAGTTAAATAAAAGAATTATTATTAAGTATTCCTTCTTTTTTCCCTATTATCTTTTCTTATAAATATTAACTTTTTCCTTTTTATTTTATTCACCTCTTTTCCTTTATCTTTCTATTTTTACATTAACTGGTTCTTGACTAATAATAATGATCCTTAGTATTAAATAGTACTTAATATTTTGAGCAAGTTCTAATAAGTTAGGCTCTTCTAATAGATAGTAATAAGCTAATCGGTAAATAAAAATTCTAGGTAGTATTATACTTAATAGCAGAAAAAAACTAACAATATATTATTGAGTGTATCTGATCAATCTTCTCTTAGTTCTTAAAAGGAATTATTTATATTAGACAATTATATATTTTCCTTATCCTGATTAAGTTAAACGTAAATCAAATTATATAAATAGATAGCTCTCTATATTATTTTCTTTTCAATAATTTGTAAATCTTCAAATAATATAGAAAAATATTTATTATAATTGTTCTTAAATATGATCTTCTTTTAATAAAGTTGCTTAAAGTTATGCATAATAAGTCAGTATTAAATATATATATATATTTTAATACTTAATTTACTTTTGTAAAAAAAAACTTTTTCTGCTGATACTCAGTTTTCTTAAAAATTTTCTTTTTTAATAATATTTTGGAAAATTAAGAAGTTGGCCTCCAATATCCAAAAAACCCATAGTCTAAAAATATCAACAGCATGTCATCAAGTTTCAAAAATACTCTACTTATTTGCAATAACAATTATAGGATAAGTATTAGAGAAAAACTATCATAGCATAGTTTTTCTTTACAAAGAAAAAAAAAACTCAAGAAAATTGATTCATAATAAGCTCCTGGAGATCCAATCTCAACTCCACAAAGCTTTCAACCAGGCTAGTACAAGTTAACACCTTTTTTGATATTAAGAGAAACACTATATGCAATAACTTTAGCCAATAAATCAGTTAAAGCTCAGAATTACAATATTTAAAAAAACATTTAGGCCTCAATTACTCAATAGTAGAGAGTGATATAAACAATACAACAATACTCATATCTTAAATTATGTAACATAAACATATCACATCTGCTAGTTTGAATAGCAATCTATTTATATATGTAATAAATAACTTGTTTATGTATTTTTGCTTCATATTTATATGTAATAGTAGCTATCAAACAATACAATAAATCTTAAAATAGTAACATAGCTTACAATCAACAGATCAATACCTTGTTTACATATTTATACTTTATACTATATATAATAATAGCTATCAATAATAAAATAGATCAAAAATAATAACACAATTACAATTAATAGATCAACATCTTGTTTATATATTTATACTTTATACTCATATGTAATAGTAACTGTTAACAATACAATAAATCTAAAATAGTAATATAACTTATAATCAACAGATCAATACCTTGTTTATATAAACAAGAATAAATAAATAAAACAAACAAATAAATAAATAAATACTATTAAAATAAGCAAGGAATAACTATCACATAACTTAAAAAACCATAGTACTATCCAAAATAGTATTTAATAAAACATATTAATACTATATATAGCAACATATTCTCCATATTATGTAATCAACATGTCTATGAAAAAATACAAACTTTTACAGATCACTAAGAAAAGAGAAGTATATATTATTGAAACTTTAGTCCAGCTAATAGAAAAGTATGATCAACAAATAAAATTATGGGCCTTACAAACCTTTTTGAATATTACTTTAACTCAAAAAACTATTACAAACTCAGTCTCAAGTTCAACTATATACTCAATTATTGATAATATTATTACTAAAATTCTAAATATTGATTATACTACCTACATCAAAACCAATGTTTTTAAACAATATATTTTTTACTTATGGACCATAAAACAAGAAAAAAGAAAAAGATCTTCTAGCTCTTTTTTTAGAAGACAAATACCTGGATATGATAGAATAGGTAGAACAAATACTATATATCTTATAACCATTATTAACAAATCAGTTAATGGTCAGAAGTGATTTTCTTATTAACAATTTACCAGATAAGGCAATGGCCATGGAAGTTCAAGTAACTATATCAATTGAAATCCTGATTATTAATGAAGTCAAAATGAAAGATAAAGAACTAGAAGACAAAATTGAAATGGAAATCATCAATGAAAAAATTAGAGAGATAATATAGCTAAATAGCAAACATATAAAACAAGAAATAGAAAACATTCAGCATTAATCCATACTATATCAAGAAAAATGGAGATTTAAAAATAGGTATATTTATCTCAAGACTTTCAGAAGAAATTGAAATAGAACAAATAGCATATTTATAGAATATATTAAGTTTATCAAAAGACTCTTACCCCTTCATAAAGGAATTTATCAATAGCAATACTTGGACAATATTATGCTATAAAGAGAAAGAAGATGCATTAGGATGCCTTGAAAAAATTAATGGAAAGAAGAAAAACAATTTTGCCATTATATCCCTAGAAATGAACAAATAGTCAAGCTCCAGCTAACCACCAAACAAAAAAGTATTCCAGAAAACAAAAGAGAAAAAAGAAATATTACTGGTAGTTATCTTGATAGATATTGATCAAAATTATTCATGTCAAGAAATAAAGGCAGTTTTCAATCAATATGGACAAACAACAAACATCCATATTTACATCTATTCATAATCACAATGCAGAATCAAGGCATGTATCATTTTTTATAAACAATATACTGATCTTGAGAAAAAATGGATGATCTATATCAGAGTATAAACTATTATAGCCATTTTTTCTCAAAATGAATTTGATGATAAAGAAATCAACAAAATTATCAAACAGCATAATGCACAATTCTTGTGACTATATAGAATACATAATATTATCACTAGGCTAATTGCAAAAGCAGTTAAACATATCAAGATCAAAGCATGCTACATTTCTAGAATCTATATACACTCAAATGAAGAGACTATACTATAATTTGCTTCTTAACAGTACAAGATCTTAATAATGTATTAAATAACATATTTGTATTCATGGGCACAAACTTATATGGAGTGCAAAAGAATACTTTAAACAAGAACAAAAGTGTTTTCAAGAAAGATGGGATTTCAATGAAGCTGAAGAATCAAATATTAAATACATATAACAAGCTGATAGTATAAAAATAAATAAACTAATATCAGAAACAATATAAGGTCCAACTGGTACACAATATTAGAGGATGAATAAGAAATTGAGATCAAAGAAAAAACATATCTTGACAAAAGGAAAAGAAGATATAATATTTAAGGCAATAAGCTTACTATCAGCAAATCAGATATCTTCAAATACTTTACTACTGATAATAATAGAAAACTTGTTAATTATTACAATAGACAAAGAATACATAACAGATCTGAAAGCCCCTATCTTGAAAGTGAAAGTGATCAATATTTAATTTATCAAATCCTGGACAATTTCAAGTGATTAAACAATCAAAAAATCTAATTGAAGAAAAGATAGGCAATTAAAATAAGGTAAGAAAGAGGTGATGAAATAATCATTTTTAAAAGTAGACCAGTTCAATCAAAGTATACTGGGAGAGAATTTAATTCATAAGAGGAATCAAGCTTATCTGAAAAAAAAATATAATTACTAAGACAATAGTAGATATTAATATAATATTCTTCAATATAACACATACCATGCTACTTGACAACTTTATCAGCACAATCAATAAGAACACTATTGGAAAAATAGATAAAGAATGAATACTATATAATAATTATATCATAGACAACTTTACATTAGACAATACTATTACAATTGAAATATATAATATTAGAGATATTAATACTAGTCTCAATCAACAAAAACTATATAAACTCATACAAAAACTTGACATAGATATTCTGGGGATTTGTAAAACTAAGCTAACAAAAGAAACAGTAGATTTTGCTTTTAACCTATAGCAAAAACACAAGTTCTTCCATAGCTGTAATAATAAAAAGCCTAGAGGATCTGAAATGAAATTTTTTATTAATAGAAACATCGAGAAAAAGTTAAAATCAATTGAAAAAATAGAAGACTATATAATAGAAACTAATTTTCTATCAAAAAAAAGCAAACTCTATATTTATCAAGTA